GTTAAGTTACTTCCTTAGTCTTCAAATCAAGCAATTGAAGAATGGTACATTTGTGAGTCAAGGCAAGTACATCAAAGACATGCTCAAGAAATTTGGCATGAGTGATAGCAAAGCCATTAGTACACCAATAGGAACAAATGGCAACTTGGATAGTGATGCAAGTGACAATATGGTGGATCAAAAATTGTATCGGTCTATGATTGGAAGACTACTCTATGTGACCGCATCAAGGCCGGATGTCATGTTTAGTGTATGCATGTGTGCAAGATTTCAAGCCTCTCCAAGAGAAAGTCATTTAAAGGCTACAAAAAGAATATTGAGGTACTTGAAGCATACACAAAATGTTGGTTTGTGGTACCCCAAAGGAGCAAAGTTTGAGCTAATTGGTTACTCCGACTTGGATTATGCGGGATGCAAGGTTGAGAGGAAGAGCACCTCGGGCACATGTCAATTGTTGGGAAGATCACTTGTTTCTTGGTCATCAAAGAAGCAAAATAGTGTTGCATTGTCAACCGCCAAAGCCGAATACAGATCCGCCGGTAGTTGTTGTGCACAAATACTTTGGATGAAGGCCACTTTGAGTGACTTTGGAATCAAGTTCAAGAAAGTGCCATTGCTATGTGATAATGAGAGTGCAATCAAGTTAACCAACAATCCGGTTCAACATGCAAGAACAAAGTACATTGATGTCTGCCATCATTTCATAAGAGATCACCAACAAAAAGGGGATATTTGCATTGAGAGTGTAGGCACCGAAGATCAACTTGCCGATATCTTCACCAAGCCACTTGATGAGAAAATGTTTTGCAAGCTAAGGAATGAGTTGAACATATTGGATTTCTCAAATATGTGTTGATGCACCCCCCATTATATGACATGCCTCTCCTTCGAGCAATCCAAGGTAAAAGTTGATTGGCATGGCATACATTCTTGCTAAGGACATGTTTAGTGCATCTAGTCATTCCTATCATGTTCTAGGCTCATTCATGAAAATCAAATGAATGTAATGCTTGTATGGTACCACTATTGCTTCTATGCTTAATTTGGTCTAGTGGTAGCATATGACATGTTTGTGGGCTTGTAAACCTAGTGTTTGATCTAGAAAATGAACTCTAAGTGTTTAACTCAACATGGTACAAGATAACCCTTATTTGGAAGTGTGAAGAAGCTTGTCCTCGGATCAAACCGAGTTAAATATCTTTTGCAAGTGATCTAGATTGAACCAAATTGGGAAAATAATCCTCACTTCACATGGTTTCACCTAACCTATCTAAAATTTGAGCTCGCCTTTTGTGCTAATTGTTGACAAAGGGGGATAGAAGTTCACAAAGATAGTAAGATAGGGGGAGCAAAAAAATGAAATGACATTGTAAGGGGATCAATCAAAATTATACACAAGTAGGGGGAGCAAGCTCATAAACTTGTATGTTGCATTTGAATGTGCATTTCATATATTTGCTTGCATGGCACAAGTTTTAAATTTCAATATCCATGCTTGTGTGGTGTATGCTAGTTGTAGGTTTGAATGATGAAATGAAAAACTAGCATGCAAAGGTTAAGTAACTAGACTTATGTTCATTTTATGGAAACTAGACCCATGCTTCTAATGTTGAACTCATGGGGTATTCTAGTTTTTGTGTATGTATAGTTACTAATGGTGCTAAAGATGGTATATTGGTGCACTCCGATTGGTATCATGCTTCAAAGGTCCATCTCTTATACCTTAGCATCATTTGGTACACATTGTCTCCTATATTTCCTATCTAAGCATATGTGCAAGCTACAATCCAAACTCGTAGCACATATGTAGGGGGAGCAATTGCTACCATTTGGGGTTCATAAAACTTGTCCATATCCTTTCACACAAGGTAATTATGTTTGGGTAAGCAACATGGATTCAATGAAATTTCAATTCATATCTTTGTGTAAGGGTTGTCATGAATTACCAAAAAGGGAGAGATTAAAAGCTCTAGTTTGGTTTTGGTAAATTGATGAAACCCTAAGTGCTAACCTAGTTTATCAAAGTGATTATGAGATAGGTAGCACTACTCCAAGTGATTAAGCAAATGAATATCATGACATGAGGATGGTGATGATTAAATACTTAGACTTGGAAAAGAAGAAAGAAAAATAAAAAGCTCAAGGCAAAGACGAAATTAATAGGAGCTTTTTGGTTTAGTGATCAAGACACTTAGAGAGTGTGATCACAATTAGGATCGATAGCCGTACTATTAAGAGGGGTGAAACTCGTATTGAAATGCGGTTATCAAAGTACCACTAGATGCTCTAACTCATTGCATATACATTTAGGATCTAGTGAAAAGCTAACACCATTGAAAATGTTTGTGAAAATATGCTAACACACGTGCACAAGGTGATACACTTGGTGGTGAGCACATTTGAGCAAGGGTGGAGAAGTTGGTGAAATAAAGGAAGTGATAGTCACTGAGAAACAGTGACTGGACACTGGTCACGCAGTGACCGGACTCTAACCCTGCGTCTAGTCAGTGGCGCGTAGTGAAGGCCACCCTCAGTCTCTTGACCGGATGCTGAGTTTGAAGTGATCGGACTCGGGGTTCTAGCATTCGGTCAATTATAAAAGAAGGTGGTACTCTTGGCCTAAGACCGGACGTAGGTGATCGAACTCTGTCTACACACTGTTCAGCGTCCGATCATGCTGATGTGGCGGCGTACAAAGAAGAGGGTGAGTGATCGGATGCTGGGCAAGTCCAGTCGGGCATGACCGAACGCGTCCGGCACGAATGGAACCTTACTGGAAATGACCGGACGTCAGTGATGGTGCGTCCGGTCACTTTGAGCAGCGTGTCCAGTCACAACTTAAGTGTACTGATGACTGTTGAGATCGGGTGATTAGCATTTGAAGCAGGGGACACATGGTGAAAATATGAGGACCGGGCGCTGGGGTCCTATGTCCGGTCAATCCGACCGGCGCGTCTAGTCGCTCTGTTTTTTTCAGTGAACAGAGAGCCAACAGCTCTATTCATGGGGGCTCTCTATTTAAGCCCCATTGCCGGCTCTAGCTCTCTCCCTTGGCCATTTGCATTGACATAGCAACCTTGTGAGCTTAGTCAAAGCCCTCCCACTCATCTCCATCATTGATTCATCATCTTTGTGAGATTGGGAGAGAATCCAAGTGCATTGCTTGAGTGATTGCATCTAGAGGCACTTGGTGTTCATGTTTTGCTGCAGGATTCACTTGTTACTCTTGGTGGTTACCGCCACCTAGACGGCTTTGAGCAGCGAGGATCGTCGAGCGGAGGTTGGTGATTGTCTCCAGCTCCGATCGTGGTGATTGTGAGGGGTCTTGTGCCTTTCCCGGCGGAGCGCCAAAAGGTAATTCTAGTGGAGTACTCATGTCATTAAGTTACTTCACTTGTGGGTAGGTTCTTGCGGTGTCCAATTGTGTGGACGAGGTTCGTGCAACACCTCTTAGCCGCGCGAACCACCAAGTGTTGGTCGACACAACGGGGACTAGCGTGCCGGCAAGCACGTGAACCTTGGGAGAAAAATTGATTGTCTCTTATCCTTTGGTATTGTCCCAGTGATTGAGTTAGTATTCATCTTTTGATTGGTTCACTTCTCTACGCGGCGGTATAATCCCCTTACTTACCCATTTACATACCCACAAATTAGTTGTAGTAAGGTCTTTAGTGTCGCTAGAATTGAGAGCTTACTTTGTAGCTTAAGTTCATCTAGTGGAGCTCTTTAGTGTAGCAAGTATGAGAGCTCTTAGTGAGTAGTGACTTAGTAAATTGTGTGTCTAGTGATCATAGTAACTAGAATTGTTGAATAGATGGCTTGCAACCCTTGTAGAGCTAGAGCAAGTTTGTTTTTCGCTATTTGTCATGCTAATCAAATTGTTTTAGTTGGTTTGTAAATTTTTAAATAGCCTATTCACCCCCCTCTAGCCATATTAGGACCTTTCACGCTCCCATCCCCCGCCACATCAGCCGTGCCAGGCTCCTCCTCATGGCCTGTGACATGGCCCTCTTGGTAGTTGGCATGAGCACGCCGTGGTCTTGAGCCCACCACACCCCTCCCCGCTATCTGGAGGAGCTCCCTCGGCTAGGTTGCACGCTCCTCCGTGCGAGGAGCCCCGTCGGCCAGGCAGGCACACCTCCCTCCCCACCATGCGGAAGAGCTCCAACCCCAGTCGTGGGTGTTAGACCATGACCCTATGACTCAAGGAAGATGATGTATTTTTTAATTTGGCCCCTAGGTAGTATTTTGAAATTGCATATAAGTCCAGATCCATAGTGGAGCTCTCCCAAACAGATTAGTTGGAGTCCAGCTCTACGATGGAGCTGTCCTGTGGTGGATCTGGTGATCTGAATCTACTTTTCCAAAGCTGGAACTCTCCGAAACAAGCCCTGATTATGGGCCATTCGACCTGATTTGACCAGTCTAATAAAACCATATGGATCTGACCCGTCGGTTCGCGTGGGAGCGGGAAAACCTGACCCGATCTAACTCGTCAGTTCTCGATGCTCAACCAAAAAATAATACAATAAATAGAAAAAAACTCAATAAATAACCTTACACGAATCCGTAGTACGTCGGGCTCAAACTCGGGCTAAAAGTTTTGACCTGATCTTTTTTTCCAACCCGAACCCAAAACCGACCCGATCCAATCCAAACTGACCAAATCTAACTTAATAATGCTGAGGGATTTTAAAAAAGTAAATAGAATCTCAATTTTCAAAAATTAACAGGTAAGTACAAAACTGCTTTTGCCGTGGTAAACCGCTTCGGTTTGTGATTTGATCGGCGCGTATCAGTTTCCGATTCGGCGGAGTTAGCCTGGCCGGCGGCCGCTCGTCTGCATAAGCATAAGCAGAGATTGCGCAGTCACGAAAAAAAAAAGGGGCAGAGATTGCGCCTACCTAAAACAGAGTCTCACGGCGAGGAACAGAGCAACCGGTTCCCGTGAGAGCGGAAAATTTTCATTTTTTTTCCCCACCTGCGCCACCGCCGCCGATATGGAACCGGCGACAAACAACGGATCCAGATCCGGATCCGGCTCGGGGCCTATCGCCGGCGACACCCGTGATTGGTCCCGCTTGCCGGAGGACCTGCTGGTCAGCGTTCTGCGGGCGCTGCACGTCGCCGATGCCGTCCGCTCCGGCGCCGTCTGCACCTCCTGGAACGCGGCGTACGCGGCCTTCCGCCGGTTCCGCGTCCCGTCGCCGAAGCAGCCCCCTTGCCTGCTCTACGCTTCCGAAGCCCTCGTCCCCGGCGCCGCCGCGCTCCACTGCCCGGTCACCGGCGCCACGCTGCGGATCCCCTTCCCGCCGGCCCCGCTCGCCCGCCGGCCCCTGCTGGGCTCCGGCCACGGCTGGCTGGTCACCGCCGACGAGGCCTCCGACCTGCACCTTCTCAACCCCGTCACCGGCGCCCAGGTCGCGCTCCCGCCCATCACCGCGATTCACCACGTGCGCAGCGGTACGGACGAGCAAGGCTACCCCGCGTACCTCGTCTACGAGAACCTGCCGGAGTATAACTACAGCACGCACCGGTTTGAGGTGGACACGGAGCCGACTATCCTGGAGCCGGTGGACAGGTCGCACGAGTGGATGTACTACCGCGTCGTGCTCTCGGCCAGCCCGTCCGCGGGGCGCGCCTGCGTCGTGCTGCTCCTGCACATGCCGCAGGGCGAGGTCTCCTTCGCCAGGCTCGGTGACGACCGGTGGACCTGGGTCGCACCGGGAGACGACACGGGTCTCCCGTCGAGGTACGGCTACCGTGACGCCATGTACAGTGCCACCGATGGCTTGTTCTACCTGCTCCGATTAGATGCCTCCATGTGCAGCTTGGACCTTAACGGACCTTCGCCGGTGGCACGAAAGATCCTCGACAACTTGCCAAAATCTGTCGACCCGACCAAATACCTGGTTCAGACACCGGCCGGTGACATCTTGCAAGTTTGGAGGTCCAGGGACTACGTTGACTCGCAGATACCGGCGGAGTTTCCACCAGACTATGTGGACGACAGCATAGGGGGTCGGGACCCGTGTTTGGAGCTCAACACGTTTGAGATGCAGCTGTACAAGGTTGACCTCCATGGACACAAGGTAGAGCTGATCAAGAGCCTGCCGGAGTTTGCATTGTTCCTAGGCTGCAGTGGCTCTCTGTGCCTACCGGTAAAGGATTTCCCTGGGTTAAAGGCAAATTGTGCTTACATGACTGACGACTTCTTAGAATACGTGAACTTCTTGAAGCATAACAGGCGAGAAATTGGTATTTGGGATATGGCAGAGCAAAGTATGTCGAAGCTTGTTGATGTCTCACATGCTATTTATCCTTGGCTGAATTGGCCATCTCCTATCTGGATTCAACCATCCCTTCTCTAGCTAGTGGAGGATGCTTGCAAAAACAGTTGGACTACTTTTTTTTATCTGAATAATTGCTATCATTGACTTTTTTTTATTCAGATAGTTGTGACCATTAATCTTAGAAGTATTGAAATCGATTTCTTTTGCCACCAAATAGTTGTATTGTATTATCTGTTAACTTCAAAAATTTTGAAGTCAATTGTGGCAAATATATCTGGAGATGCAGTCATTTGATGTGCTTAGATGTTCGGTCGCATACTCGCACCTTTGTTGTTGGATGGATGTTCAAGCTACGGATTGGTTCGTTCAGTATGAGCAGCATCTCCCAATGTTTTTCTTGTGGATAATAACATTATTACTTTTGGATACTAAGTGCTGGTTCAGGAACCATAGGAAGATCTATCCATACTGTACTTAACCAAATCTTCATTGCTATGGAACATTACTTTGAAATCTTCAAAAGCATAGATCTTTACATGCTGGATGTTTCATGATTTACTCAGAGTGCTCGCCTGCGGCAGCCCGCAACCGAGCGGAGCCACTATACTTGTATGGTGCTATGCTACAGCTCTTTGTAATTGGTTGTATCACTCCCCTTCTGTCTTTAAACATTTGTAGAATTAGATACAAATGTTTCTATCGTAGCTTTTATTCTGGAGAGTTCAGCACTGCTAAATTATGAAGAGGAAATTGATTTTGTGCATAAATTGGGGGTTGGTGATTTTTGTTCTGAACAAGCAGATTTATTTATGTCAGTCAGATTCTAACCTTGTTGTGTTATATTGCTATACACCATTTTCAATGAAAATTCATATAAACTATTTTGTCGTTTTAGTTGTTAATTAAAGTAATTTCCATTGACCTGTCCGTAGTTTGAAAGATTTGGCTTAATAAAACTAAATGACATGTAATTTCAAAATGGAGGTAAAGTTAGAAAAGTTTAACTAAAAAGACATGTCATTTGATGAGAAGACAATACTGCAATTTTGCCGGGACGTGCCTTGCCCCTCGCCGCGTGGGACGCTGCTCGCTCTCACAGCAAATGTGAGGAGAAGAGAGGATGGAGTTTTAATTTAACTATGACCATGAGAAGAGGAGTAGAGAATGGAACCAACAAAAAAGATGTTGTGGCAGCATTTACATTTTTAATTAAAAAGGGAGTACCCAAGTAGTTTTGTTAAATATTTTTGGAAACCAATTTTTGTGAATCGTTGGAGATATGGTTGTTTTTTACCTCCTAAATATGTTTTGGAAAGGTTGCAAAACTAGACTTTTGGGAATATATTTTTGGTATAGTTGGAGATGCTCTAAACGGACTCTTCATTTCTGATTCATCTGTGGCAGCGTACAGGCATGGATTCGGATCAGATTCGCAGGGAATCAAATCCGAATAGCACCATTAACATATTTTATTTTGAATCCAAATATGGATAGAGTACAGAATAGACATCTCGATTTTGGATTCGTATTCGGATTTCTACTTGATTTTGAAGAAAACATGTAGATTTGTTTAAAAATCAATATTAGTCTAGATATTAATAAATAATTCAGTAGTGAAACATATAAAAAATCAATAAGAGTGTAGATAAATATTTCAATACACATAAATATATAAATAAATTAAAGTACTTAAAATTGATATGATTAGACATATTATAGTTAATTAAATTTAATATATATTATTTGTTATAATATTAAAATTAAGTAAACGTAAGTTTTTAATAGTTTTCAATTATCATAATACAAGTTTTAAAATTATTATAAATTAAACTTAACCTATGATTAGCCATATTAGCCACGGAGATAACTTTTAAATGGTTTAAACGAGTTATACTAAAACAATTATCATTTGCATTGTTAGTTAGTCATAAATATAAGTTTCAGATGGTACTTTGTTCTTCACTCATGTGAATAATGTCGGGTATTTCACATTTTTCGAATACATATCAAGAATCAAATAGAGAAAATCATAAAAGCGGATTCTTAGCATCCATATTAAAATCAAATGCACATACAAATATTCACATTGATGCTAAAACGGATACAACTATTGGATCTCTCAGATGTTTAGATATCGGGACCCATCCCTAGCCGTATAGCCAAACGTAGAAATGATGGTGTGCCTCACCGGAATCACATGCGACGCATACCCAAACAGAGTACCAAACTAAGAAATAAAGGAAAGGGGGTTGCTCTCTAGTCGCCATTTTCGTGGCATGACTTCTGCTAGGGTTGCAAAACTCAAATCCCCCTCCCCCCAACCAGCTTTGCTATCGGCGACACGGTCGTCGCTATGGAACCAGCAACGGAAAACAGTGACGCCTAGCCACCTAGGAGTCAAGCTCCAAGAGTAATAAATGCAAACAACCAAAATTCTTGACTTGCTCAAGTGCTCAAGGTGTTTGACAGCTCACACAATGTCTCTTAAGTGCTATAGTCCTTGGTGCCCGTGTGGGTACAGTTGTATACCTCTGCAAAGATCTCTTTTGAGAGCTTGAAGCCCTTCGGGACGGAACCTTTCTGTTGTTCTTACTTCTAGACTCATTGTAGCGATAATGATGATACATGCTTATGAGATGAATTAAATATTGATCACTCTAATTGTGTTACTTATCATTACTTGTCTTGTAAGTGCAATTATTAAAGAATTAACTATGAATCATGAGCATGTTCTATGCATAATAAATGCCATGTTTTTTCTGCAAATGTACAATTGCCTGATAACTCCCTCTGCATCCACCAAATGTATATGTTGGAATTAAATCCTGCGAGTACGCAATGTACTTAGTGCTGCTGTTAAGTTGTTTTGCAGGTACTTCGACTTGATGACAATTGAGCCAAGCTCAATAAGTCGAAGCTTACTAGACTTTGGGATGGACGTTCCCAAGATGAGCCGCAGGTTAACTCTGATGTTAGAAGTAAGTGAATAGGAGAAAACTAGCTATAGAATGGGATAACTTGTAACCATGTGAACCAAACGTCTTACTTTTGTTATGTAATGCTCGATGATGTTTCAGTTATTAATTAACTCCCTGTGGTGCAATGATTGTGATGTGTGATTACTTGATGAATGGTTCATATGAGGACCCGTGTCGGTCTAGATTAAGTCCGGTTGGTCGAGAGGACGACACCCGGGTTAGTCAGGCATAGGCATGGGAAAAATCCCTCACATGAACCAACCTCAAGATGGACCTACAAGCTCGTATACCTAGCAAGGAATGTCCCAAGGGGCCCATACAAGAGGGGAGGGCCCACAGGTCAGAGAGGGTGGTCGGATGGCCCCCTATGGTCGACTGACCACCCTGGTGAGCCCAAGTGCCTCCACCCTGCGCTACTTCATGTATTAGGTCAAAAAAATACAAAACATATAGATTTCGTGTATCACATAATTTTTCTTATTTTTTGTGGCAGAACCACCCAAATTATGCTGGCCAACATGCACCGGTCATTGTCCTAAAGACCTCTGACTGCTGCACACGGGAGCCAGATAATCCGGTAGTCTATCGGGTGTCCTCGGGGAACCCCGAATCATCCACATTTTACAACTCACACAGGATCAACAATGGAGTTACCACAACATTACAACATTTGATACAAATATTATTCATCAGAGTAAAGCACAGAAGATTTACAACCTAAGTTATAAAACAAGTTCAAGTACCTTTTAAGTAAGAACTTAAGTTCGAAGAGATAAGTAGAACTATAGAAAGCAACTTAAGTAAAGTACCTAAGATAGAGGGACAATCAGATCATGTCGAGCCCATCGACATGACCTCGATTAACAGCACAAGTCAGAACCTGCAACAGGGGTTAACAAACCCTGAGTACTTGAGGGTACTAAACAAGACTTACCCAACTGACTCCAAGGGTATGCAGGCTTAAGGGGATACAAGGTAAGTCTAAAGCAAGAATCAAGATTATCTTTTGCAGAAAAGCTTGCTATAAGTGTATCCTTATTTTCAATATTTTACTCAAAGTAAGTCATTATAGATATTCAATTTGCACCTGATCTAAATCAATCACTTCATTAAACATCACATCTTGTGATCATAAGTAACCATTGTTTCATTGATTAACTACGATGCAAATTAGGGAATCGAGTCTCCTTCTCCGAGAAGCAACGGTGATTCGAATTGATTAACACCCAGCTGGAGATTCCCAACCACACGACATATGCAGGTACCGGACCTACATATATCAACCCTTCCCTCAGATCTTCCAAAACATGAACGAGTTCACGCTATCCGAGAGCACAGTACTCCACCGCCCTACGCCGTCCCAGACGGTATCGCAGGGTGGGTACACACTACTCTCGCCATCTCTCCACTCCCAGTGCATGGTTGTCCTTTCTCAAAATGGAATAGCCGAGGTATCAGGCTCACCGGAGTATGTGGTCAGTGCTGCAAAGTCTCAACTCACACAGGTCTACAACGAACGGTCCTCAATAGACATAGGCGGAGCACTACACCGACTCATTTCACAATGCAAACCACCCGCCCGGTCTCTTATTAACCATATCCATAATTCATTTCTTATACCTGAATAAGGTACCAACCCAAATGATGAAGCCATCATTCGTCACTTAGCTACTAAGCTGGGCTAAGCATGACTAGCCAACAACTACTGGAGGGTGACAAGGATTTGTATTGGAATATCAAGGTAATCATGCAACAAACGGTTTCAATTCAACCCCTATTACTTAATGCACATATTATAGAACTCAAATGATAAAAGCATTTGTAAACAACAAGGAAAGGGTTGTATGCTTCAGTGCTTGCCTGTGTTGCACGGAAGGTCAGAATCCGCAGAAGAACCACAGAAGTCAAACCCATCTTCAACCGATTGATGATCTTCCTCCGAAGCTTGATCAACACGAACCTTCTCACTCTCATTTACTACACGTAGATAATGATGCATACTTAACATGATGGAATGCATGACATGATGCTTGATGAAAAGTACACAAGTGCATGAATGAACTTAAACAAGATTAAAAAACTTGAGTACACCTTTCCTTC